CCTCATGCCTTTCTATGTATGTATGTCCCATTCCTATTGCACTATTCCTCATGCCTTTCTATGTATGTATGTCCCAACCCTATTGCACTATGCCCCAAGTCCTTCCTATGTATGTATGTCTCATTCCTATTGCAATATTTCACACGTCCTTCCTATGTATGCATTCCGAACCCTATTGCACTACTCCCCATGTCCTTCCTATGTATGCATGTCTCATTCCTATTGCTCTATCCCCACACCTCCTCCCTATGTATTTATGTCCCATTCCTATTGCACTATTCCCCATGTCCTTCTTATGTATGTATGTCCCATTCCTATTGCCCTATCCCCATGTCCCATTCTATTTGCACTATTCCTGTACGTCCTTACTATGTATGTATGTCCCATGCCTTATTCCTATCGCACTATTCCCCAATGGGCACGTGTACACTACGTATGTGTTTCACATGTCTTCAGAACTATTAAAAAGAAGCTAAAGATATATTTGCATTGCTTACCTTTAATACAGTCGCCCTTATATCCACTTCCTCGAAATCCTCTCCGACATTTACACTGACCATGGATACATAAGGCGTGGACATCACAGTCCATACATTTATCATCTGGAGAAAAAGTCATACTTAACCTAGCAACATATTCATCCTTATTCGATAAAAAAGGTGTTACAGTGCTTCTCAATAGCACGGGCGAAATCGTGCAATCTGCTGTCGCGGCTACAAGGGTTTTGATTGAAATCAATTTAAAAATGTCCATGACGTCAGAGAACATTAACTTTTTCAAGAGCGTCACTTTCCTAAGTGTTGTCACCTTTATCAACGTCCACCAAAATCTACTTAAGATTCAGGCCTTTTTATTAAGAAGATTATGCATTCTATTATTTTTTAACAGAAAGGCTGAAAGGTCATAATGTTACGTACAATGTGAGATCGATAGTTGCTCAGCCTTATTTTTGCTAAACTTTACTAAGACAGTTAGTCAAATTGTTGTTGTCGTTGATGATGATTATCTATTTTTATTGTTTTGACCGCAGTGAGAGAGTATAGGGGAAGAGGTCTAATGATGCACACATCATACTACTTACGTTCACAGTGAGGTCCATCGAAGGGTGGGACACACTGGCAATCAAAGCCATTCACTCTTTCGATGCATTTTCCTCCATTATGACAAGGATTAGGATGGCAGTGATACACTTTTTGAACTGATAGACAGAGAATTGAATACTGTTTTGTCAACAAAATCTCGCATTTCTTTAGGTGGCTCCAAGTAGTGCATTCCGCCGGCACTTTGGATTTGAAATTGGCAAATATTTTTTACTATCTAGCTGGACCAGTATGTCTTCTTGTTTGGATACATGACGTGAAATATCTGGGTATTTTAAGGAGCATTCGTTTTTTAGAACTTCACATGAGCCGAACCTAATTGAAATAATGGATAACACGGCGATCTTCTTTGATGTCATTAGATTCCGCTCACGTGAATGTCGACGTTTGACCTTAGTCTAAGTGTGATTTATATGAAACCCTTATAACATAAACATAGAAGGTCAATTAATTTACCTCAGTAAATAACTGCTTTATGAGATTTTTATAGTCATAAGGACATCTCCCAAAGTTTACATGAGTCCCCCATTCATCCCTAATATGTTTTCATAAGGACAAACTAATAACTTCCATATCTATTCATGGACCATAATAAAATACTTTGCAAGCCTGAAACTAATGAGAAACTTACCGGGCTTCTTGAAGAGACACCTTGGAGGCAGGAACTCATTTCTACATCGACAGTAGGGCTTGTGTCCAACAGAATAACACGTGCCGCCATTGAAACAATAGTCAGGAGGGCAGACTACGAGGTAGTAGAGAGAGAAAACATTATGTAATAAGTTGATACTGATAATGATACCAATTCGAGAATTTCTATCTAGCTATTGCTTGGTTTCAATCGGCTGAATGAATCAGTATTCTCGTCATCAGCCGCGCATCAGTGAAGGGAAAAAAGGCCCTACATGCTTTAATGACCTTGCTCACGTGACAGCTATGTTGACTGAAACAATATTGATAGATTTTCTCGCGCCTAGCATTCCAGTGTTTGAGAATAAGATTTATGCCGGTTAAACAAAGTCTTTTTTCTATGACAATAAACATGGCTGCCGCGTGAGTAAGGCCCATCATCGATGTACATTTATTTAAACTGAATAAACTTGCCATCCATCTGGTTCATTAAAATGGACACCGTAATGGCTGTCTATTGATAGCAACCTTTCTGCAACTCACGGATATATCTGCTTTTGAATGTGCAATCCACGATCTCGAATCCCAAGTGAATTCCACTAAGATACGCATTCCAAAACCCAAAAGTAAATTTAAAAAGTTAGGAGAGCTGCATGTTCGTAAAACAAAATGACAAATCGCCGCTCAATAGAAGTTGGCAGATTACAGGTCAGTACCGTATAAGGATATGGGTATTTTATGTACTTACAGTCGCAGGTTTGACAAATGTTCCCTTTACAGTTTTCTGTACAGATACATCTATACTTGTCGCCCTCTGGGACGCACGTGCCGTTATTCAGACAAGGTTTCTCAAAGCATGGATTTTGTCCTATAGCAAAGTACATGCAGCATTTAGTAATTTTCTAGACAAAAGATAACTGCTCCACAATTTAATGTCTCTATACTCTAATTTGTTAAAATTTTCGCCGGATCGGTTTCGAGAAGTTGATGTTATAGGTGCAAGGGTGTACGTGACAGTTCAATTTCAAGCAACAACAACAAGCTGAGTTGACCGCGTTCACCGAAAGGAATTATGGGTCAACTATTTTTGGTTAGTATTTCCTGAGAAGAGACTTAATGCAATGTAAATTTTTTGTGTGGATTTAAATGAAATTCCGCTGTGTCTTTGACTAGTAGCATTTACGTTCAACAAAGGATTCATGTGTTATGGGTTCTCTTGGCAGAATCATGGGAAATGCCAATCAAAATACAACGTCAAGTTTTCAATTTTAATTGGTTGACCTTGAATTCGTTCTGTAGGTCAACTCAGCTGTTGTAATTCATATTTTGAACTTTCTTTTGTGATGATCATGATAAACGTTAGACCAGTATCATTGAACTTAAGCTTTTTTTCTCAATCATTATTGATTATCGGTCTTTCGGCCGAAGTCTATCATCTCGGAGTACAATGAAGTAATCAACGAAAACGTTACCAAAGCTATATTGTACCATGTGTATCTTCCACGTGCTTCCTTAACAACGTTTTCTGAATTACGCAGGAAACCCAACTACTAGCTACATACTGTAACAATTTATCATAAGAACCCTAGTAATACGCGGTTTTGTAGTTGAAGTTTGGGGACCCAGTTCTATCGGCCTTGTTTTTCCTGCTAGATGTTTTACGGCCATCAAGATATAATGAAACGTAGCCATAGTTTATGCTTTGTGTGAGAATTTACAAATTTTGGCAAACGAATCTAAGATTTCATGGCATGCGATGGCTACTAATGGAACGACCCAAAATTCATAATCTCGCAAAGAGAATCTCTTTGAAAAATTCAACCTACTAGCTGTGGAATGCAAGAAAGGAAACTTGGGAAATTGAGAACTTTCACATAGCAAGAAAATTGCAGAAATCTTGCTCCATCAGCTACTGAACAGTATGGCTGAGAAGATAGTTTTTTCAATTACATTTGATTTATTTGTTGCTTTTTCTGGGCCAACGACTGCCGATGTGAATTTATTTCTTACCCGCAGGCTGCTAAGCGTAAGCCACTAGAAACTATACACGCTTTAGCTTTAGATTTAACACTAGGAATGCTCATATCCATGTTCATAATGCTTAAAACTTCCCAGTTAAATCCTTTAAGAATAGCTTTCAATTTTCTAACATTTTTATGCTGGAACCAAAGCAAGCTGTACAGCCGATTGCATCGCATTCAGATGCTGCGCTTAAGATTTATTTTAGGTATAAATACATATCTATTACTATCTAGACCAATTCCTTAAGAAATTTTAATTTTAAAAAGCTAAAGCTTATAGATATCTTTTTACAATAGTCCCTCTTACAGTTTCCAGCAACAACTTGAAAGTTAGCCGTGCCGTGGGCGCTGGGAACTGTGAAGGGGATTTTTGAAATATTTGTTTATTTCGTTTTAAAGTTTTTTGCGTAAATTTATTTACCTCTTTTTTTTTTTTTTT